AATAGAACCATTACATTTAAAAAGTCAGACTTGTAAATAGGAAAAAGTTAAGCCACTTAACCACTTTAGAAAGGGTTTCCTAGTGAGTGCTTTCAAAATATAAACAGTTCAGTCAACATATTTAAGATGATTCCACCTTCCTCTGATAAAACAGATTTCATTTGTGAGCTTCTCTTCCTTGTAAATTCAAGTCAGTCTGCAAAAAAATGTGTTCTTTTTTTCTTTCATTTATCTATCACAGAATTTATTATTTCTTACATATTACAGTAATTAGCTCTTCTGTGTGGACGACTTACTGTGAGCTGGTATTTTAGCTCTATTTGTCTATATCAAATAAGCTACCAGACTGTTTTGGTTTGGTCTAGATATCCCCACAAAGCCTCAGGCATAAGTGAGTTTTCAGAGGCGGCTGAATCTAGAGGGTGTGATGCTGGGGTTAAGGGTGTGTGATTACTAACCAGTCCATTGATTGGTTTGGCACCGCCCTAATCCCGGTAGACTAGACAAGACAAAAGGGGCAGGAAGGTGCTGTTAAGGTCTCTTGCTGCTTTGCTACCTTTGTTCTGTCATAAACTGCTGCCCCTCTGCCGTTTACTGTCCTGCTTTGGAGCCAGCCATTATGGACTGAAGCCTCTACAAATGTACTCTAAGCTATTCATCATCCAGTCTTCTTCCCCCACCAAGTATATCTTAGAATTTGGATGTCTCCTTGGTAGAGCCTTTTCCTCCTTTGCAATATAATCAGTACTGAAGATTGTGGGGATTGAACCCAGGGCCTTTACACTGAACTAAATCCTCACACTTTTTAATTTTTAAATTTTGAGACACTAAGTTGCTAAGTTGTCCAGGCTGGGTTCAAAAGTTATAATCCTCCTGCCTCAGCCTCCCAGAGTAACAAGCAGTAATTTTAGAGATGCATTTATATAGTGTATTTTAGTGTCAGAAAGATTTCTTAAGGATCAAGTTTATTTTACTTATTCCAAAGACAAGGAAACCTAGGCCAAGAGAAATAAACTGACCTAAGGTGTGCACTGTGCAGACATACACCCTGTAGTAGGTAGAAAAATGACTGTAAAGATATCTGTGTCCTAATTCGCAGAACCTGTCAAAATGGTATTTTCCATGGCGAAAGAGACTTTGTGAAGGTGAATCAGTTAAGGATCTCGAAATGGGACAATTACTTGGGATTAATTGGGTGAGCCCAGTATAATCACACAGACCCTTATAAAAGGAAGGTAGGGTAGAGTCAGGATCTGGGACAGTGGCGGCAGAGGTTCCGTGCTAGTGAGTGGTGGAAGACACCCCCTGGCTGCCTTGGGAATGGATTCAAGTGTCAAGCGTTGAGTCCCCCAGAGGTTAGAAAGGCAAGGCAATGACTTTGCCACGCAACTGCCAGAAGAAATGCAGCTTTGCCAGCATATTGCATCTAGCCTAGTAAACTGATTTTGGTTTTCTGGGCTCCAGAATGTGAGATAATATATCCATGTTGTTCTAAGGCACTGAGCTGTGGTAATTGTTACTGCAGCAATACGACACTAATACAGACCCTCACTCTTATGAACTATGAAAAGAAGCACATGGTATAGTCAGAGTAATGGTACAATACAGGTCACTTTTTGGAAGCAAGCTACTGAAGATAAACATTTGGAGAAATGCTTGGGGCTCATGAACCTGGTTACCAGAATTCTTCCAAAATGGAAGCGTGGTAGGACCATTGGGGAACACGTCCAGGACACATCTCCCCATCACCATAATCATACTTTTTTCCCAGGTGGGATCAGTGGGTTGCTGCTTCTCTTTTGTTCACATACAAGGTAAATCAAGCCTGCTGTGTTCCTTCCACAGTTGAATTTCGCCTTTGAAGGGAGAACTTGGTAGCTTTTGAAACTCTTGCCAAAAGCCACTTTTAGAAATCTTGCTTCCCTTCCATCTCTGCTCTGATTTTTTTGTTGAAACATTGTATTGTTAGCTTTCCATTGCCATGACAAAATGCTAGCCGTAATTGACTTTTACAGGGAGGAGAGCTTGATTTGAGCCTCTGGCTTCAGAGGCTTCAGGGCATGGTTGCTTGGCCATGTTGCTCGGGATCTGGTAGGGAGCTCATGGCAGAGCACAGCTGCTCACCTCATGGCCACCAGGAAGCAGAGAGAAAACTCATTTTTATGACAGAATCCCTCACCCCAAACCATTAAGCTGTGATGCACCCATGGCTAATCCACGGATGAGATGAGAATCATCATGATCCGATCACCTCCCAGAGGAGCCATCTCTGGACACTGCTGCTTTGGAGACCAAACCTTTAACACATTAGCTTTTGGGGAACCGCTCAGACTGAAGCCCTGACATGTAGAAGAAAGTTGTGACCATGCCACCGTGGGTCCCCAGTGCCTTGGATGTTAGACCCGAGCAGCAGCCTGGTTGTCTTAGGCTCATCACAACCTCTGGGACCTCTCCCCACTGTGCCGGGCAAATGACCCCCCAGCTCCAGGGCTGGGCCATTTGAACCCTGACAGAAGTCCTCATGCTGGCCAGGGCAGGACCCGTGTGGAACACCTCAGCACTGTGCTCGTTAGCGGGTGTACGTGTGCACTTGCCTGGACTCCTGCTGTCCCCTCCTGGTGGGAGGGGAGGCTCGGTGTAACCAGGGCGGGAGCCGGGTGATACTGGGGAGGCCCAGAACAGCAGCTCACACCCTGAGGAGGGAGCCAGACGGTGCTGTGACTTGGCCTGAGTCTCCTCCCGGGAACGGACCTCGGGGACAAAGAGAAGCTTGGAGCTTTCCTGTTTCTGGACCTTGGCCAAAAAGAAGTGAATTAGTAGTGGAAAAGTGAGAGAATCACCTAGTCGTAGTATTTTAAGGCTTGATGTGTTCACTCATTACTCTCAATGCCTTCTACCACATGTAGACCTCAGCCCTCATAGGGGACTTAAGGAAGCCATCATGTCATGTCTTATCTCTCTGTTTCATTCTGTTCTTGTGGCATAGGCTCACTTCCACATTGTCTATCTTTGAAACCATTTATTCATATTTCTTTCCTGCAGAAAGAAATGTTCAGTTTAGAATTTCCCCTGTGCACAGAGAATGAACTCTGATGTACGGAGTTCGGCTGTCCGGATTCCCCGCTTTCCTCAGGTACCCGCCTGTCTGAACTTGACCTTCTGCTCCTCTCCGGTAGAACATTCCTTTATCACCCCCTAGATGCCCGCTGTACCTCCCTACCTCCTTTCTTTCTCAGCTTGCCTCTTGCCTGCTCTTGAAATCAAGTTCCTCCTCAGCACTTGCTGGAGGAGGACAGTAGGCCAGATGCTTATTGGACAAAAAGAGGCAGTATGTGTGCTTTTGTGTAAGCTGATTATTTAGAAGTCCTTACCCCTGATATTTTGCAAGCCAGTTGGAAAACAAATTGAAAACTAAATGGTTGAAGGACATCACTGAAGTCCTTTTTATGTAATTAGGCAAGACTCATGAGTAAGATAAAACCCACTAATACCTGTGTGACTGAAAGTCCAGCCTTGGGCTTCTGTAAGGTTTATTTCTAGGTCTTTCAAGGGTTTACCCACAGAGACATAGGACATTTTGTTTCTGAGAGCATAAGCATGCCGTCCATCACTGCGTGCTCCTCCAGTGGGAGGGATGGATAGAAGAGATGTTTTTTGGAGATCAGATGTTTAAGCTGGGCGGTACTGAAGCTACAAAAATTGAAACTCTCGTTGATAACTAGGGAGACAAGTAAGTAAAGCTTTCTCATGTTGTATAATCTGAGTAGGAAGATAAGACTGTCAAATGTAGAGTTAACATTCACTGAATATTTAGAACCTTAATTTTGTATAAAATATAAAAAGATATGCACAAATAAGAAAATTGGCAAGATCTTTTGAAATTATGGAAAGTAGCAAATAGCATAGGAAAAGATGGCTAGGAAAGGTTACTTTTCAAGTGAGCATTGAGTTTATAAAAACTTACTTTGTTTTGTTATTTTGCATGTCTTGTTTTAAGCTGTATTCCACGGGAATAGAGAAGTATAAGTTTAATGAGGAAAAATCCAACTATTTTCAAGTCAGAGTAGTATCTTCAATTTTGTATACTGAATTTTTTGAGCTAAGAATTAAAATAGAAAAATGGCTGAATTTATATGGGGAAAGATTTTTAATGGCATTTTGGCAGAGCCGAACACACTGAACATTTTGATTAAAAGTGTCTTCAGTCAATAAGATGACTCATGTTAGTAAGACTTCTGATTTCAAAAACGGAATTAGTCACTCCGTCTCAATGGATGAAGTTCAGTCTCTGCCTCTGTACTGATAGTATTAGAATGTAGTTGTAGTTTGGCTCATTTGGGCCACAAACAGTTTACATTATTTCTTTTTTGGGGGGTACTGGAGATCGAACTCGGGTCCTTGCGCTTTCGAGGCAGGCTGCGTAACCACTGAGCTAAATCCCCAGCCCTACATTATTCCTCTTGGAAAGAAAGCTCAACAAAATTATTTTCTAGTGGAAATTTATTTTGACAGAGAATTAAAACACATGTATGTTGTCTTAATATTTTATTAATAACATTAATTTACTTTAACAATTATTTATTATTAAAAACATTTTATTAATAATTTGGATGAAGACTTTGCTGGGCCATTATTTAACTTTCTTATGAAATAAAAATAAAGAGAAGGCTTGCAAAATTTAAATCCAAATTTAAGTCCAGTTAAATAAAAAGTCCTTTATGGGCAGTAATTAGAGCAGTAACAAAGTTGCAGAATGAGACAGACTCATTTCTTTAATCAGTGGGAAAAAGACAGATCTTTCAGGTCAACTAAAATGTTCATCAAATAAAGAGTGAGTAGAAGGGCTGAGAATTTAGCTCAGTGGCACCGCGCCTGCCTCACAAGCACAAGGTTCTGAGTTCAATCCCTGGTACCAAAAAAAAAAAAGAGTAGAAGCCAGGCATGGTGATGCATACCTATAAAACCAGCACTCTGGGAGGCTGAGGCAGGTGAACTGCAAGTTCAGGCTCAGCTGGGACAGTATAGTGACTTAGCAATATCCTGTCTCAAAATAAAAAATAAAAGAAGAGCTGAGGATACAGATCAGTGAAGACCCTGGGTTTAATCCCCAGTACTAAAAAAAAATTAATGAAAAATTATGAGAGTATGACTTGGTTACCCAAACTGCTATCTTTGGCTGTCTTGATGAAGGCATGAGTTCTAAACAGTGGATTAGGACACAGTCCTGCTGTGTCAAGTTGGCCTGGCCATCCCCGGAGGATTGTCTTTAGCCCAAGGTGCCAGATTTCAGGTTGCTGTCAACTCTTCCTGGACACATTCGCAGGAGAGCATGAGATGAAGTCCTGGCCGCATGTGCTGTGTTATCCATGTCACACTGCTGTGCCCCTGTGATTTCTGGTGTTGCAGGGCTGGCCTGGCAGGCCCCACACAGCTTTACACGAGAACTTCATTGTGTTGGTTATCACGGGCTCAAGCTCCAGCAGAGCTGGACTGGGCTCACAGGTGGAGGATGCCAGGAAATATTCATTTTAATGATGGCAGCTAATTGGTAGCTTCAAAGTCTCATTTGTGAAGGATGGCCGCAGAGAGTATTGGTCTAGAGAAGAAACACTAGGGAGGCAGGTAAAGAGCTTGAAATACTCTTAAGAGCCATAGCACGTTAGTTTTCCAGCAAGGCCTTAACAAGTGATCACATATGTAGTTAGGACACCATTGCTGTGTCACAGTTTCTGTGGGACACCAGTTTGGGTACTGTATGGCTCTGCTGGGTCTCTGCTTGAGACTCTGCAAGGCCAACCTCAAAGATCAGCTGGGCCTTGTGCCTTCTGGGAGGCCCTGGGAAAAATCCACTCCCAAAATCAGTCAAGAGGTCCATATCTAGTTCCTTGCAGATGCAGGGCCGAGGTCCCTCTTGCTTCACTGTCAGCCAGGAGCCGTTCTTGGCTCCGTGAAGCCACTTGCGATCTTTGTCACCTTGTGCCTTCTAATGCCAAACTAGCGGCAGTGCATCAAGCCCACCCCCATTTTCCTGATTTCCTCATCAGCTGCATCTCTGACCACAGCCAGAGAAAGCTCCTCTGAGGAGTTCTGAGGGCTCCTATGATTAGATCAGATCTACCAGATAATTCAGGGTGATCTCCCTGCTGTCATAATTACTTCTGCATTCCCTTTGCCATAGTCACAGGTTCGAGGAGCGAGGGCGTGGACATGCTGCCGGAAGCAGCCCTGATGTGGGAGATAGGTTGTGGCCGCTGCAGCTGTGCCCTGCCACGGGGACAGGGAGGAGAGGAAAGACTGCTGAGGAAAGACTGCTCTCGGCAAGTCTCAGAAAGGATCCAGGCCAGCAACTTCTGGCCACTTCCTACTCTGAGACTTTAGAACTTGCTGTGGACACATACTAGAAAAAAATAAGGCAGTCCATGTGATACCAAAGGCTGTATGTAAAGTGCTATATATAGTTGAAGTTTTGTGCTTTGATTCTGAAAACCTAACAGTGTAGTTTATTTAGATAACTGATTTAGGGCCGGGGATTTAGCTCAGTGGTTTTTGCCGCCTGCTGCGTAAGCACAAGGACCCAAGTTCAATACTCGGTACCCCCAAAAAAAAAAGGGATTCAAATAGATAACTGATTTATTAAAAATTTCCCAATGGCAAATATTTATAATATTTCTGTTACATTTAATATTGCATTAGTATCTTGTCTAAGAGAGTGTACCTGTATTCTCCCAGATAAGGCAAAAAAGCCCAACTATGCAGAACAACTGGATGGATTATTTTATTTCATCTTCACGTTAATCTTGTAAGTATAAATACTGTTCCCATTTTGTGGAGAGGAATATTGGTCACAGGGAAGGGAAATGACTTTCCCAAAGTCACACTGTGATGGACAGGCTCCTGCAGTACAGTGGACTTTGTCCACAGACTACGCTGCTTTGACCTAGGGCATTTCACATCGCAGTGGTCATTATGGCATTTTATCAGCATAAATAAGAGGCTTGTAATCAATCTGGTCATTTTCCGTGAAGAAAGGCAAACATACTCCTTGTGTGGTCCCTATTTGTCTTTGACCCTTGAACAGGAAAGTGACCTTGAATGGCTATTTGCTGAGCATGTCCTAAAAGCAAAGCCTGGTACTCGGAGCTGAGTGGGGTCCAGATGGGTGGAAGAGACAAGAAGGGGTCTTGGAGTCAGGTCCCTCTTTTTGCAGCTCTGTATCTTTTCTCTTGTGCCTTTTCCTAACTTTTCTGTTTCAGAACTGTTTGGTTTTTTTAGAAACTTCGCACGTGTTTAGTATCCTTTTAGTGGAGATGTGTTCCCCGTATCCTTTTTTGGCTTTGAATTATACATAGCAAATGGAATTAGTGATGTAAACAGCCTTTCTGTTGTGTATATTAAAATAAATTTTTATAAAAAGAGAGGGCTTTTTTTGTATTTAGAACACTTTCTTGCTTTGATGCTCATGAGGCATATTCTTCAGTCACATTTCTCCTGGCAGAGACCCACATTTATGTGGGGTTTAACGGAACAGAAAGTCATACTCTGGGAATTGCTGCACGACTTATTTTTGTGTCAGTATTTCTGATATTAAGAAAATTTGTAGTTATTCCCAGTTAGGGAAATAAAACATTATTAGATAAGCACAAGTCTTTTATTCCAAATATTGTAATTCAAAAGAGCAGTATCTGCTCCTTAAGGGTGGTATGAAGATTTACTTGTGTTGGGTGGCACTTGAATTTTGAAACATTCCCATAGAACTGGAGGTTGGAGATGATGGGGCTTCAAAATCATTCTTTCGCTTGTGCTGGCTGAGCGCCTCTCTCAGCACCTCCCATCTGCTCTCCGTGTGTCTGCGTGTATGTCGAGGCCCATGGTTAAGGCATAGAAAAGTCAGCGCGTGTAACTGGTGAGGCTGGAGGACGTGACGTCTGCAGTCTGGTCAAGTTTGCAGTCCATCTGCTGGACTCTGCACAGAGACCTTTTCAGAAGCAGCCCTGCACCAAGCCCTGCGCGAAGAGCCTCTCAGTCTACCTTTGTCCAAATATCACTGGAATGGCCTCAGCAAAATTAGTCTCCCCTCACTGAACAGCTCTGATTACCACACAGTGTGGATCCTCCAGCAAAGTTTTATGGATACATTTTTTTTCTTTTCCCAAAAGCAAAGACTGCCTAGTAAAAATTAAACTCAGAGCAGTCCCTTTAGTTCATTCATCTCTTGGCAGACAGAGCAAACTATATGAAGGGTTTTTAGTGCACATCTTTGATTTTCTTTAAAATTGATTTTTGTATAGAAATTAAGTTTTTAGCTGGATTTAGTATTGATAAAAAGGCTCACATTGTGTATTTTTATCAACTACTTTTTGGAACACTTTTTCCTCCAGCTTTTGAATTTCATTTGTCTTTTTCAATTTAAAAATGAAATCACTGCGTGCATTGTTAGGGTGATTCTTCCAGTGTCTTGATGGAAATCTATTAGATACAACATTAAATATTAAAGTGAGGCATTCTAAATCAGTCCACGTTGAAGTACTTCATAGATACTAAGTAAATATGAGAGAGGAGCTACAAGCTTTTGGACCAGGGGTATTGTTTATGTGCACCCAATAGATAAAATGTTGTTAATTGGTGGGGCTTAACCCTTGCTCAGATCTTCCCATTTCTAAACTCTGACTCCTTAACATTCCACTGAGAGAGGGACCGGCAAGACTTGAAGTTAGGTCGTTCTTAATTTATCCCTCTGCTAGCTTCTCCAAGGCAGATGAGCTCTCTTTATCCACCTATCTGTCCATCCATTAAAAAAGAGTCTGCTTTCCTTATTTTTCACCTCTGAGATGTTGATAGCATTGTTTAAAAATGTGTGTGGTCTTTCATAGATTTTCAAGTGCTTTCAGATCCATTTTCTATTTTGCTCCTCATAATCCTGGGAAGTATGCAGGAGAGATATGATTCCTTTTTATAGATGAAAAGCACGTGACTGGAAGCGGTTGCTGCAGCTTGGAGGCAGTGATCCACACTTGGCCCCTCCTTTCCGTTGGGGCCTCTTCCGCGGCCTCCACTCTGACTCGGTAATGATTTCTGCATAGGGTTCTAGTCTGAGCCACTCAGGTCCTGAGCTGCGGTCTCTGCAGCTCTCCCAGCTCAGCACATCCAGGAGGAAGCCAGCACTGGCAATGGCCCCAGCCCTGAGATACCGAGAGCTAAGACCTGGTCCCTGCTTTTGAGGAACTGAGGCTCCCGGGGGAAGCAAAGAGTAAACAAGAATAATTTAGAGTCGGAGGCAAGTACTGTAGGTGAGAGCGCCCCCTGCAGGGATTGAGGAGGGCTTTACAGGGAAGTGGCTCTTGAGGTGGGATTGGAAAGCAAAGAATCAATCCCGCTTCCATGCGCCACTCTGCAGTGTGTGGAAATTGTACCTGTAGAGAATAAGAGAGTTATGTCATCATCTATAACCAAGATACCTAAGTTTATAAAGTGTTTGGAAAAATAACATTTATTTATTTTATTATTTTTTCTGTGTGTTTGTGCAAAATTGTCAATTGCTGATCTTGCTGATAAACTTTTGTCGCAATCCATATGAGGGCATAATGAATAGTGGGTGTTATTCTAGGCCTGTGAACTGGTTGCTCTGTCTGATCTTCCTCTTTCAAATTATTATAAATTATTTTTTCCCTTTTCCTTATTCTGCTTGGTTGATTAATCTTCAACCAGATATTCCAACGTCAAAGGGTCTGGCCTTCCCAGCCTGACTCTCTCCAACCCCAGGCTCCTCTAGGAATCTCATGTAATTTATTTAAAATCAATTAGTTGTCTTTGTAACGGACCTCTTTTACTTGCTTTCCTCATTCTTGTTTTTGCTTTTTCAATTAAGTTAGCTGAAAAGTGCCCACATCACAGCAAGCAAAGGGGTTTAAGAAGTTCAATCTCTTTAAGGTGAGTGTCAGCAGAGGAAGAAAGAAACTGAAAATTGTTAACGAAGCCACTTGTGTTCAGATCGCAGTTTATAGAAGGGTTATCAAATGTTCATCTTTCCAGGCCCTAAAAACTTTCAAGACAAGGGACTTGAGGTTCACTTTCTTAGTGATGGAGTGGGAGTGACTTAGTTCCCAGTGGAAGAGGTCCCTACAGTGGTTTTCATGGGTGCCACCCAAGTGCAGGCCTCTCCTGGCCGTCAGGAGTGCATTGAAGAGTCCTTTCTTTCTCTTGCCTTGGCAGAAGTTGAAAGGAAGGGAGAAGGGTTGCAAAGAGAACCTGTGTTTAAATGCTGTCTGTTTATTCGTTCATTCGTGGGTGTTTATCAAACCCCTCCTTCTATTTGTCAGGCAGTATAAAAGAGACACCTTATTCTGCCTTTTGAGTTTGGAATTTATTGTATGTAGTTAACCATTCACTTTCCAAGATTGCTTTTCCAGATGGAAAAATATGTGCTCAGACCTGTGGAAGAACACTGGTCTACAGGTGTGTGGCTGTGTGTGGTTCTGATTATGTGTCATTTTCTTGATAATGGTCTAAGCAACTTCCTAGCCTGCTGCAAAACCCAGGATGGCGAACAAGTCGGTTAACACCTGTCATGGAAGTAGAAAAAGTTAACACAATCATATCTAATGTTGAATGTTAAAAATATTTTGTTTTTCCTCCCAGACTGTTATGTAAATAATTTAAAGCTGACACAGCTAGAGATGGTAGCATGAAGCCAAACTACTTTTAAGAATTAAGGCTTATGGATAAAGAAAAGGAAAACAGCTCTGTTGCTCTAGAGAAAAAGTAAACAAAGCAGAAACATGTTATAAAATGAAACATAACGTGGTGAAAGTAGTATTGTATGACTGCCCTCACGCCTTGCTCGGTCTCACTTTGCCTTTGCATGGGGCAACAATACAGACAGCTGATCTTGCTATTCTACCTGTTCTTCTCCAGCTTCTGTGGACTGCGAGTCACCTGGTGATCTTGGTAAATGCAGGAAACGCTTGGTTGCTTTCATAGTGCCACTGGGGTTTAGAGAGCCTTTAAAACAATCGTTTCTGTGAGCACTTGTCTTCGGTGTGCGTTTCTGAGTATCTAAGTGAAGTCAAGTCCTTTCCTCCTGTCCTGTGTGGCACTTCCACCTCCACACTTTCCATAGAGGAACCAGGGGGAAGCTGGGCTGTTCAGAAGTGGGCTCCATACCACCTGGATTGTGCCTTGTTCCTGTTCCAGAGCATCTGGGGTGCAGGGAAGAAATCTGAGGGAAATGCGCTTGAGAAAAGGTATCTGTGAGCGCTTGCTCTAGTGTTTGAAACTTTCTTCCATTCAGCAGCTGTGTAATCAACATCTCCCTGCCCCTGGGCTCCATCCTTTTTATACAGATCCTGAGGCCTCACCCACCATTAGAACAGGCCTGTGAAACAGCCCCCTTGGACCTATGGCACCCCAGCTTAAGATTAACTTTCATTCCATTTGGCCCAAGCTGCTGTCCACCAGCTCACCCCTAAATCAGTGCCTTAACTCTGTGCTGTCTGTCCCCTGCCTCCAAGGCTCCCTTTCTCCCCCACATCCAGTGGACACATGGCCTGCTGTCCCTCCCCTGGGCACTCTGTCCTGGCTGCCCTCCTTTCAACACTGCCTTCCTCAGTGTTCTTTGGGTCCTTCCCCTCCTCGGCCTCTGAACCTTTGGAGGAGGAAGTGGCCCACATTCTGTCCCTGGTCTTCCAGGGCATCCTCTCTCCACTGGGGCTTCTGAACAAACGTGCATGTCTGTCCCCAATCCAGACCTGTGCCTTGGGTGTCTTCCCTGTGTGGGCCCAGCCTCTTACCTTGCTCCTCTTCCTCCCTGGGATATTTTTGGGTGGCCAAATCATTGTCCTCAAAAGTGTGAGAGGTCCTCCCCTTCCAGGAGCCATCTGTGGTCCCATTCAAGGTCTGGGTGCTTTCTTTCTATTTATTCAGTGAATTGTTGTTCAATGCTCTGTTCTGGGTCTTTTTCTAGGTGCTGAGGGTATAGCAGAATCTCCCAAAGTTTACTTCCTGCCCTGCTTTGCCATTGTTTGCACATCATGATGCACTTGTTCCCCCCAGGCCAGAGCTGCCTCCCACCCAACTGGTCTTTAGCAGTGTTTATTCAAAGCAAATCCAGTCATGCCTATTTCTTTCCTTTTCTTCTCTCCCTTTTCTGCTGTGTCTTCTCTCCACCTCTCCCAGGAGCAAGACACAGGAAATAGCACTTCATAATTACAAGAGTAGATCAGATTGATCAAATTTTATCATCAGTTCTGTTCTCTACATAGAATTGTGTGTTTGGTTTGAATGTGATGCAAGGGGTAGGTTGAATGCTTCCTTTGTTTGATAGATGTGCTCAGCTGTGGCCAACAACAAAAGTTTCCTTTCTGCTGTGTCTTGTTAAGGGCTGGAAAACTCAGTTCTTTGAAAAGTCACTATGACAGAGGAATATTCTGCTTATTCTTAGATGGTGCCTATGCCTATGAATATCAAAGCATTTTATTGGGTAACAAATACAAGATTTGTAAATGTTTTTATCTTGTAATATTGTCATCCCTTTTTCCTGAAATAACAAAGTTTCCTAAAGCACAAGACCACAAAGTTGGACTATATCTTTCGTAGTTAGGGTTGCCAGATACAATACAGGGCATTCAGTAGAGTTTGCATTTCAGGTATGCAATTGACACAGGAGATGAAATATGGAAATATTATATCTCCCAACCTGTTAGATGTCTAATATGCCTAATTTGTGTTCTCTAAAATGGAGGAATGAATTCTAGGAACAACAGAGGTTAAGAGTAGGAAAATATTTATTGAAAGGATGGCTCCTGAGAGGTGGGAGGGACCCAAATGAGTAGCCGGGGACCCCACTTTACAGAAGTTTTATAGAGTAAAAACCACGAGTATAACATGAGTTACAGCTATGATTGACCAGTAAGGTTACAAGTGTAGTTGCTTAGGTAATAGTGATCCAATGGGGAAACAAGTCACGAAACAAATGTGCATGGAGAGAACAGAGACTTTTTCTAGGAGATAACAGGTCTAGAGGTCTTGGTGACCCACTTCGTTAGGCCGGTGCTTGTCTTCTGAGGAAGTACGCAGGCCTGCTCACTTCAGGTTTATCTTGAGGCCTAGTCTCCAACAGATGTGGCTCTGGCACAGTTGCGATGTATTTTACCTTTGTCCTGACTCTCTCAAGTCAGCCCTGTCTGACTGCCTATATTTCTACCTAACTTAGCTGCCTATAACACAGTGAATTAAAAAATATTGGTGCTGGGGATACATGCACTCTCTCAATGAGCTACACCCCCTAGTCCAAATAAAGTTTTAGTGTATGTCCCAAATATTGTACAAGATTGTTTTTACTGCACTAAAATATTATTTGTCATTTATCTGAAAGTCAAACATAACTTGGCGTCCCATATTTTATTCCCTAAATCTAGACACCGTGATCACTGGCTAAAGACAGTTGCTGGGATTTATGGTTTTTAGCTCCTGATTTTCAGTCACAGTGATGTTTCAGAGAGAGAACTCAGTGTACCTTTGCTATCTTAAGTCACAGCCGTAAATAGCTCCACCCTAAACTGGAGGAGCTTTGAGAAGAGGGTTCTGTCTTTCACTGCACCTATTTCAAGATGCAGATCTGATAATAATTGTTGTAAAGTTGCTCAGCAGGAGAGAGGAAATAATGGAGGCAACCCAGTCTTCATCCCTGAGGTTTCTTTCATATTCATAGAAATGAATGTTTTTGATGTGTAGATAAATCCAGTTGAGTTCAGCAATAATTTATTGACTTTTCCATTTGATTATGAGTGAGGGGAACACTGCCCAATTTCAGGACAGTCAGTCTTGGGAATAAACTCTTTCCCATTAGAGCTCTAGGCCAAGGACCTTGTAATTACCTGGGGAATATTGTACAGCAACACTCTCTGGACTCACCTGAGGCTCTGAGTCACTTGGTCAGGGGGACTGCATGCAGGTGGTTTTTCCACAGCACCCCAAGATTGTAGCATGCAGCCCAGCTGGGGGCCCTCTGAGTTGCAGTATTAAACATTCTTATTCTCTGAGTGACAGTGTGGGATGTGAATGGTAAGCGACAGAACCTTTGCTCAGGAATAAGCACATGGCAGGTTAAATTCCAGCCTTCTGGGTTCTTTCAGTAGTGGCCCAAATAATCAGCGGTCTGTGTGTGTGTGTGTGTGCTGGCCCCATGTTTAAAATTATCAATAAGTGCAGTTGGAGAGGTGAAAGTTGGCATACTAGAGTGCCTGAGCTGTGTGTTAAAATGTTATGGAAGATGTCCCTGCTTCCTTTCTGTTTGTCAGTAATCCTTTACACTGTGCAGTTCGTTGCTGTAATTTTGATAGTGTTAACCTGGGGAAGTGAAAATGATGATTGCGAAACTGAATGTAATTAAGTGTGAGGTACTGACTGGTACATGCCTCATGCTGTGATGCTTGTTAACTACACAAGTGATATCATCAGGCTGCTAATTAGACTCCCTTCTCATCCAGGTGCCACTAATAAGGTGAACAAATCTGTCCTGTTGCTGAGAGTCCTGAAGGTGACTCTGAAGATGGCATGACCTGTTTTGAGGATTTATAGCCCCAGGTTAAAGTGTCTCCAGGTGTCCTGAGGACCTCCTGCATCCCAGTCCTGGGTTGCTAAAGATGCAGATTCCTGGATCCGCCTACCCCAGATCTATTGGATCCGGCATCCACGATTAAGCCCTGGGATTATGATTCTGGGGCCAGGGGGTTGGTTTGAGTAGCACTGAGACAGTGGCTGCCTGCTGTGCCAGTCCTGTGTTTGCTCCCAGCCAAATGGCGGCCTTCATGAGCAGATGAGTCAGGGCCTCCCTTTCTGTGGGGCAGTGGGGTCCAACCTCTTCCCTCTCTTTGCACAGAGGTCTCTTCCCCTGTGATGGGATTGAGGGTACTATGGGAATCTTCAGAAGTTCTGTTTTCCTCTGCAGGATTATCTCCACCTCTGGGTACTAGCTGATAACTTGGGCCTGGCCCCAGTAGTGGGCCTGGACCAAGTAGTGGGATGGTTTCACTTTTCCCTCTTTGATACTGTCTTCCTGTTGCTTTGAAGGAAGATTTATTTTTTACCTTGAATAGAATGTTTCACATTAAACTAATAAGTACAGATAGTGTCTGACTTCACTGGTTTGACTTCAGATATTTTCAACTTTATTATAGTGCAAAAGCTATATACATTTAGTATATATCATACTTTGAATTTTGATCTTTTTCCAGGCTAGCAGTATGCAGAACAATACTCTGACAATGTAAGCTGATGTAAGCAGTGATGTTTGGTAGTTAGGTGTACTAAATGCATTTTCCACTTAGGACATTTTCACCTTGTGATGGGTTTGTCAGGACATGATCCCTTTGCAAATTAAGGAACATCTATAATTTCATATATCTTACCAGAAATTTTCATCTCATTATAGAGCTAAATATAGAATGACTGTTGCCAGCAATTGAAAAGAATATGAGGAAACTCTTACATAACTTTTTTTTTTGGTACTGGGAATCGAACTCAGGACCTCGTGCTGGCCAGGCAGGCACTGTGCCACTGAGCTAAAAACCTGGCCTAGTCTTACATTTTGAAAATTCATATTATAAAGTCTCTTTATACATTGCTTGTTTGGATTTTGTAGTGATTTAGATAGACAGTGGTCCTGAAAGTATATTCTACAGTGAATTATAACAGGATTTGTTAGACAAATTAGTAGCATAGACCAGAAGTTCTCAAATAAGACTTTTTGTAAGCTAAGGAGAAATGTTTTGATACCAAAAATGGAATATTTGGGGAACCTTCCCCAGTTTGTACTAAAAAATATCATAGCTTAAAACTTTTCCTCTGTTATGGTTTGCTATTCTATGCGGTTTGATTCTATTGGAAACTTTCATAAGATGAATTCTAACCAACCACAAACTGTAAACTTTTAAAAAGTTTGATATACCCAGGTATCAAGGCAAAGTTCACTATCACTTCCAGATATTCTTCCTTAAAGATCTACTGGGATAGAAAAGATTGTAAATGTAAAGGCATTAGCTTATCTATCTATCTATCTATCTATTTTATCTATTTGCAGTACTGGGGATTGAACCCAGGGCCTTTCCAATGAGCTACATTCCCTCTCCTTTTTAAATTTTTTTGAGACAAAGTCTTGCTGAATTGTCTAGGCTGGGCTTGAACTTAGTCCTCCTGCCTCAGCCCCTGAATTACATAGGCTTTATTTTTGAAGGTGTTTATGTACATTGAAAATGTTGATACAGTTATGAATTGGAATCCATCTGCCCTTTTTTATCTCACTCTTCCCTGTTATTGTAGGCTGTTCATCTCTGAGTGACACTGTCTCTCTTAACACCCTGTGTAGCCTTCATGTGTCGCCTGGTAAGAGCCCTCCTCGGCTCTCAGTCTCCAAATGTGCTCAGTATCAAGACTTGCAAAATCGTCTACCCTAAATTCATTGTCTAGACTAAAAACCCATTTACCAAACATACCCAAATGCACCCAAGGCTGCAGAGAGAAAGTAGAATGGGTCATGAGTCCTGGCCACCCCACAGTGAATAACTGTCCCATGTGTGTGGTTTGTTGGTTGTGGCATGGTGGGTTTGGCACTGACCATGAAGTTCTGTAGGACTTTATAATTTATTGAGGCAGAAATTTCAGTCCTGTGGTACATGAGATGGGTGTGTGAAAGAGGCTTCACCAGAGCAAGTGAGGCCTGCTGCTTTCCTGCACCTGCATCATGGGACCTCTGTCTTCTGTCACCTTTGCACAGACACTGTACATATTAACAAGCAACACCAAATCCCACATCCCATTTCCTACCACTTCACTCACTCTGGGCATCCGTAAATCCATATTGATACAAATAAATGACTGTATGAATGACAGAGGAAGAGACAGATCTCCTATACCAAAGTAACTACTGTTTCTACTGTACCCTCAGGAGGGAAGCATAACTCTCCACTGTCAGGTATGAGCCAGAGTCACTACACCCTTGTAAAAAGAACAATCCAGGAGGAAGACATAACAATCATAAATATATATGCACCAAATAGCAGTGCTCCCAACTATATATAACAAATGTTAACAGTCATGAAAAATCAAATAAGTTGTAATACAGTTGTAATGGACCACAATACCCAACTGTCACAAATAGACATGTAGAGTGTTCCACCCCAAACATAAGAATACATATTCTTCTCAGTTGCACATGGGATGTTTGAAAGGGAATCAATGCTCCCAACTTTATTCCTGGAAGCAAGCATTACCCCGATACCAAAACTAAAAAAGTCTCCAACCAAAAAAAGAGAACATCCAGGCCAATCTCCCTAATGAACATAGATGCAAAAATCCTCAATAAGATACTGGCAAATAGCATGCAGCAAATCATCAGAAAGATTATACACCATGACCAAGTAGCACTTATCCCAGGGATGCAGGAATGGTTTAACATACCTAAATCAATAAACGTAATACACTATATTAACAGAGTCGAGGACAAAAACCACATAATCATCTCAATTGATGTACAAAAAATGTTTGACAAGGTCCAACACCCATTCCTGATAAAAACGATACAGAAAGTTGGAATGGATGGTCTTTATCTCAATCTGATAAAAGCCATCTATGACACACCAACAGCCAACATCATACTAAATGGAGAAAAACTGAAAGCTTTCACTCTAAAATCAGCAACAAGTCAAGGATGTCCACTGTCACCACACTTAATTCCATATAGCTCTGGAAACATTAGCCAGAGCAATTAGACAAGAGAAAGAAATAAAAGGAATATTGATAGGAAGGAAAGAAGTTAAATTATCATTATTTGCAGTTGACATGACACTCTCCATAGAATACCCCAAAAGTTCCACCAAAAGACTTCTAGATTTAATAACCAAATTTAGTATTGTAGCTGGATACAAAGTCAACACTCAAAAATCAATAGCCTTCCTGTACACAAATAATGAACTCACTGAGAGAGAAATTAGGGAAATAACACCCTGTATACCCATCAACAGATGATTGGATAGAGAAAATGTGATATCTATATATAGTGGATGACTACTCTGCTATAAAGAATGACAGAATTGAGACATTTGTAGGAAAATGGGTGCACCTGGAAAATAGACTGTTGAGTGAAATAAACCAGACACACAAGGTTAAATATCATATGGTATCTCTCACTTGAGTCAGGCAAACTACAAAGAGAATAATAAAAGATGGATAGAAGAGGACAAAGGTTGAGGAGGGGAAGGAAAAATAAGTAGAATAAAGATTTGCCATGTACAGGAACCTAATAACTTCAATTGATATAAACACCATATGCCATAAAATGAGCTAAGATTAATAATATCAACAAGAATGAAAAATGGAATAGATGGAAATGGAAGGAGACTGAAAAAAGAGACACTATGGTACGTACATGTAACCACTCCTTAAGATGATTGTAAACTGATTAACTGCATGATAAAATACAAAATTTTAAAAAGAACTTAATCTCCTCCTTCACTTTTTTTGGGGGGAGTGGGCAAGTTGAACCTGACTACCACTGAACCACACAGAGAAAAGCTGTTATCAATAGACACACACTTGCTCCATTTTAATGGAAACAAACATAAAATACATTTGTAAACAAAGATAAAACATGATTGTGCAAGCCATTTACTCTTGTTGAGAAGTTAATCTAACACGGAGAACCTATTCTGGAGTTTAGCATGAATTTTAAAAGGCTGAAATCTCACATCAGCTACAAACAAGTTTCACCTTTTGTTTTCAGCTCTCTATATAACTGTTCAATAGAAACACATCTCCCCATAAAATGTTTACTTGTTATTTAAAATTTAATATTCTCTCTTGGCCCGCACTTTGTTTTCTTTCTATTTGAAAATTATGATGAGGACTCTAGTCTTGTGGGCTTTTATTTATATTTTAGAGAAACCTTATCTTTTTGCTCAGACTTACTGAAGTAATCAATTTTAAAGCAGCATTTTTAGTGTAAATTTATTAGTTCAGATTTATATTATTCTTTAAAGTTAAATTATTTTCTTAAAAGATAAATGAGAATTTTTTTTTTTTTTTGGTACCGGGGATTGAACTCTGGTCCTTGTGCTTGTGTAGCAGGCGGCGAA